TGATGACTTGTGGATCAGTTTCCACTTTGAGGAGGAACGAGTCGATGTACTTGTAGCTACTGAAACTCAAATCTGAGAACAGTGATCTCAAAGATGAACGGCAACCGAAGGCAACAAACAACTACAAAGTACATAAAACTCTCTCATTTATTAGTACAAGATGTACATGTATGTACATATTATGTGCAGTACATGATCACTGAGTATGTGTCTCATCTTGGTTTTTGTTTATTAATTTAGACGATCTTGCTGAAATTGAAAAAGAATTAACTGAGGGAGGGACTAGCGTCCACGACCTTGAGAAAGCTAAAGAGAAACTTGAACAAGAACTTGAAGAAATCAATCTCATGATGGAGGTGGTTGTGGTTTACCATTACCATGGTTACATTGATTATGTTTGCAAGAGAACAAAGGCCAATTGGAAGTAGAGCAGAACACTGTCCTTTGTCTTCAGTTAGAAATATCACAGCTCAAACAGAGAGGAAACTCTTTGAGAAAGATAATGAAATAAACTCCCTCAGGCAAGTCTCGCTGTACATACCCAACTCATTATAGAGCTGTTGCACGGAAGTAATCAACGGGGGGGGGAGGTGCAGCTATGGATTGTCTGCCATGTTGGGTGGCAAGAATGTACATGGTGAGAATGGAGAAAAAATCTCAATAAATTCTGCAGTTGACATTACAGACTAATGCAAGCTAGGAGATGAAGATATTGAGTGAAGAATTCTCTAATATTCTATAGCCAAGTATGATATCTCATCTTTGGAAAATTCCAGTTTGTTTCTGTATCTCCATTCGTTCTGTGCCACCCAACATGGCAGACAATCCATAGCTGCACCTCCCCCCCGTTGATTACTTCCGTGCAACAGCTCTATAATGAATGTATACAATTCTTTTAATGTAGGAAGACCCATCAACGCCAGTTGGCTGCACTTCAGCAGTTGCTTGAAGAGGAGAACAAAGCTAAGAATGACACCGTTAGGCAGAAGAAGGCAGCTGAAGAACAACTGGATAATAATAATAGTTATTGTTATTCTACTAGATGTACATGTACATGCATGTATTTACTTAGTTTTTTTTTACTTTTTACAGTCTAGCACTGATTTGAACAAGTTAGTGAAGAAGTTGCAAGCTCAAGTGAAGGATCTTAATCGAAGGATTGATGAAGAAACACGCCATAAAGATGAACAGCATCAACTGGCAGCTACGTGTCAACACCCTCACTGTTGAGGTGAAGATCTACGTAGCAGCACTGAACAAGTAATTAAATAATACCCACTATATTGTGTTTGTGTATGTAAATACTACAATTATAGTTTTATATTGTGTTTAGAATGTTGTAAACTTAATTTATATGTACGTGTAGTTGCAACTTCAGTTCAAATTGGCAGATGCTGAAAGGGTGGAGTTACCGGATTGTTTGAGTGAGTTCCAATCATCAATGGCGAGTCTCCAAACTAGCAAGAGGAAAGCCAAGCAGCAGCTGTCTTTTCTACAGGA